GATCCCACCGGCATGTGTGCCATCCCTCGGCCCCCCCCCCCACCCACCCACTGCAATTCTGCTCTCAATGGAATCCCCAGTGATCGATGCACTCAATGCAGTGACAGCGACTGCCCAGGACTCCCCTGCTGACCCAGCGGGCGACGGCTCTGCGGCTCCGCCGCTGCTGCCGCGCGGCCGCAGCTACGACTGGCGGTGGGCGGGCTATAGAGGTGCGGCACCTGCCTGCTGCGCTGGTGCGATCCCTGGCCTCTCTCCTCGCGGCTAGCAAGAACAGCTCCAGACTTGCAAACCGCAGAGGGCAAAGCTGTCATCCCTGAGCGCCCGGTGGCCTACAATGTCAGGGCCTTTGGCGCCCAAGGCAACGGCATGGCGGATGACACGGCGGCACTGCAGGTGCGCTGCAATCGACTGCGGGTGGTGGACGCCAACCACGAGAGCTGAGCAGGCAAGGGGGGATGCGTGAACAGGCACGGCAGGCGGCCGGCCCACGCTTGCCGCACCTGCCGCCCTCCCCACACGTGCAGCGCGCCGTTGCAGCCGCCAAGCAGAACCCCAAAGGCGGCGTGGTGCTGCTGCCTGCCGGTACCTATGTGCTCATGCGGCCGCTCACCATCTTGCGAGCCGGGGTGGTGCTGCGGGGCGCCGGGGTGAGCCTGCCTGCCAGCCTGCCTGCCAGCCAGCTAACCAGCCTGCCTGCCTGCATGTCTGGTGCCCTGCTGCGGCTGCTGCTGTGCTGCTGCGGTTGTGCCGCTTCCTGCTGTGGTGCCCCCAGAACCCCACCCACCCACCCGCCCTTCTCTCGCGTCGAACCATGCTGGTCGTTGTGCTGTGCAGGAGGGCAGCACCACTATCCAGATCATGCAATCGCTGGCAACGTGTACGCCGGAACCTGGAGCGTAAGCGGCGGTGAGTTTCCAGTCCGCCGGCACACGTGCCGACTCAGCCTGGCCCTTGGCGGGAGGCTCCTAGCCCAGCATGCCATGCAACTTCCGGGGCAAGTGCAGCACAGCTTCATGCCCCCGCAGCTCCTGCCGTGCCGCCCGCTGCAGACAACATCCAGTCGCAGTGGAGCTCCGGCGGGGGGTTCATCACGTTCTCGTGAGCGCGCGGCAGCCTGCCGGGGGAGTGGACGAGCCAAGTGCCCGCCGGGCTTCCGTGCCAGCAGCCCCACCTGCGCGCCACCCATACCCATCCACTCCCGTGCCCGCCGCACAAAGCCACCACCCTCCACACCGCTGCGTGCCTGCCCATTGCAGGGGCCACACGCAGCAGACCAGCCTCCCGCGCTCGCTGCTGGCCCGCATCACTGGCGCCGTGGATGTGGGCAACCGCCTCGTCCCGGTGAGAGCCCGGGCAGCCCAGCCGCGGGCGGCGCCGGCAGGCAGCCCGCGCGACAGCGCCAGGCCCTGGGGCCATGCACACAGGCGGCTTGCCTCACACATCCTACCCCCTCTGCCAGGCCCCCCACCCCCCACCCACCTCCACTCACCTGCTGCCTGCTGCCGCTGCCGACGTGCAGGTGGATAGCGCCGCCCAGATCGCCGTGGGGCAGCGGGTGCGCATCTTTGTGAACGATGCTGTCACGATGGGTGAGCCTGGGGGGGGTGTTGAGCCTTTCCAGTGGGCTGGCAGTGTGACCCGCGCTGGTGTAAGTATCCAGGCGTGCCTGCGTGGCCAGCCTGGCTCAGCCGCCGCCATGCTGCACAAGGGTGTGCTGCACGCTGCATGCCGAGCACGCTGGGAGGGTGTGAGCTCCCGGCACTCCCCTCTCACGCCTGCTGCAGAGACGCTTTACCTCGACAACGCCACCCTCCCCGCCAACGCCACCACCGAGCCTGCCCCGCCTGCCACCACCAGCCTGAGCCTGCCGCTCCCCGCCAATGCCAGCGCGGCATCCGCCGGAGCCGCTGCAGCGCTGGCCCCCACGCCTGTGCCTGAGTCGCTGCTCCGGGATCCTGTGTTCTTGTCGGCGGCAGAAGGGCTGCGCCTGGCGGGCGCATAGGAGGAAGAGGGGCTGAGCGTGGGGGAGGCGCTGGCGGCAGACGCTGCCGCATCCGCTGCCGCTGAAGGTGCGAGCAGCGGTAATGGCAGCAGCAGCGGTGGCGCCGGCGGCACCGGCGGCAGCGATCAGGAGGGCAGCGGCAGCAGCGAGGAAGATGCAGGCTCAGAGGCCGCCGCCTCCTTCGAAGCAGCGGCAGCAGGCGCTGCCCATCCAGCCTCGGACCCTCTGGTGACCCGCATGGCGCCAGCCGCCTCGCTGCCAGCCTGGGTGTATGGCGACGGCATGGGCGGCATAGACAGCGGCAGCGAGGGCGGGGCCGACGTGGTGGACCGAGACGAGGTGTCGCTGCTGGCGCAGTGAGTGTGGGCTGGGAGGGAGGCGTGGGAGGGCGGCTGGTGCCGGGGTCACCCCGGCTGGCTGCAGCCCCTGCAGCCGCTGCCGGCCGCCAGCAGCTGTGTTGGATCTGGCATGCTTGGCGCAACTCCCTCCCTGCCTGCCCAGCTGCAGGGTGGTCGCGGTGGGCGACGGGTGGATGGAGCTGGACCGATGGATGCCCTTCCCAGGTGGGTATACCACCTCGATGCTGCCAGTACCGGTACCGGTGCCACCCGCTGGTCACAATCTGCCTGCCGCACCTCACCTCCACCCGCCTCCCACCTCCCGCCAGCAGCAGCGCCCCATCCCACCTGCTTGGCCTCGCCCTCCCGCCCGCGATGCCACAGTGAGGACGGGGGCGGGGTGGCAGGGGGAGGTCCACGCTGACAACCCCTCCCTTCAGGATGCGGGCATTGAGCGCCTGACCATCCGCTTCAAGTGAGCCGGGGCGTGGGCCCGCTGAGAGGGCAGCAGGCTTTGGCCTCAGGGGCGTCACTTGGTTGCAGACATGCTGCTCCGTGGTTGTGCAGTACCATATGGTACTATGTAGTACGATTGGACAGCTCCCCGAGCCTGGCCTGAGGCCGAGGCCGCCACCATTGCCGCTGCCGCTGGCTGCCCCCCGCCGCCGCCTGCAGGCACACTGTCAACACCTAGCACCACGCCGACCGCGGCTTCAACGCGCTGCAGTTCATCCGGGCCTCCAACTGCTGGGCCCGTAACGTGAGCGTAACTGGATGCAGTCTGGATGGCTGATGGGTGGGGTACCCACACGTGAGGGAGGGTGCGGGCGTGGTGGGCGGCAGCTAGCCATTGTCGGCTGCCCCTGGCTGAGCTGCGCCGCCGACTTGCCTGGCGCGGCCCGCCCGCTGCCATGCCTGGTGCGCAGGTGGCAATCCTGAATGCCGACAACGGAGTGTTCCTGTCGTGGGTGGATCGCTCCACGCTGGCGGGTGGGTGGCACGCACAGCCGCGCGTCCTGGCAGGCGCAGCCGCCCCGCCCGCCGCCGCAGCTCCTCCCCCACCTGCCTGCCCCGCCTCCTCTTGCCCCACATAGCGTGGCGCTGCTGCCCCACCACCCGGCTCCCTGCAGACATCACCGTCAGCGTGACCCGCCCCCGCATCAACGCGCAGCACCTAGACGACTTCAACGGCCACCACGCCCTCTCCATCCTCTCTGGCCAGGCAAACTTGGTCACCAGGTGCAGGGAGGGGCTCTCACCCGCCTGCTTAACCACCGCCTGAAGCAGCCTGAGGCTGTCTGACGCCCGAGGCCGCGGCTGCCGGCTGCCGCCCCCGCCCTGCGCAGGTTCAACGTCGCGGTGCGCTACATACACGACCTGACTGTGGCGGGCAGCGCGCGGCTCAACGTGTGGATGGAGGGGCGTGGCGTGGACCTCAACATCGACTGCCACCGCACCGCCCCCTGGGCCAACCTGTTCACCGTGCTCAGCCTGGGCCTCGGCACCCGGCCCTTTGCCAGCGGAGGGCGCAGCGACCGCGGGGCGCACGCGGGTGGGTGCAGCGCGGAGGCGGGCAGCGGTGGTGATGGATGGGAGTGCCATGTGGGACGGAGGCGGAAGCGGGTAGTGGCCGCCGGCGCCGCTGCCAGGTTGGCACCAGCCGCCATGTCTGCAAGCCCTGATGCCGCCGGGACCCCGCCGCTGCCGCAGGCCGCGGCAACACCTTCTGGGGGCTGCGTCCAGCGTCTGGCGCCCCGCTTCCCCTGCCCGCCTGCGAGTTTGGGCCGCTGCTCAACTTGTCGGGCGCTACTCTGGGAGCCGGGTGAGCCGATGGCGGTGCCAGCTGGTGCCAGCACGGCTCAGCCATGTTGCTGGCTGGCCCGCAGCTGCTCCTGCGATCGCTCCTGGGCATCTGGGCTGTTGTGTCCCTTGGCGAAATGGTCTCGTTGCCTCCAGCGGCAGCGGCTCTCCCTCTCACCACAAGCTGGGCCCACAGTGCGACTGCCACTGCCTGAGCAGCTATCGCCGCCGCCGCTGCTCGCCCCCCTCCCCTCCTCTTCAGTGCCCGGACATGGAGTGGCTGGTGAAGCCGCTGGGGCAGCTGCCCTCAAACCTGTACCGAGCGCAGCTGGCGCGGCTGGGGCGGGACTAGTGCCTTGGCGCACTTGGCGCCAGCGCGGACTCCTGGCAGGCGCCACTGGCTGGCAGCTGCTCGACTTGACCCGACTGCATTACGTGAACTGAATTATGCGAGCCTGAGGGCCTGGGCAGCCGTGTTGCCTGTCTCGACCCTTTTCAACCACAGTCCCCTTCCCCAATCCCCTTCACAGCTTCCTCGCTGCCGCTCATGCCGCCGCTCCCGCCTCCAGCGGGACCTGTGCGCCGATTGGCGAGCTCGCCAGCCCGCTCCGTGCGCAGAATCCTCTGTACAGACGTGTAAGGCCGGAAATCACGTGGCACTAGGTTTGCTTTGAAAAACATTGACTGCGGGCTCGGGGCGGCGGTGCGCCGCGCCTTCTCTGCTGGCTGCTACTGCGGCGGCATGCGTTCAACGCTCAAGACCGGGCCTGTCAGCACCTTTCCCGATTGTTTCTGCTTCATCCTTCATCATGAGCAACCTGCAGGCTGTGGGCGGCGAGCGGGTCGCCCGTCTTGCCATGCTGGGTAGCGTTGCGCTGCCGACACGGACACAGGGCTGCCACTGGCCCGGCAGCCCTGGGCAGCGCAGGTTGGCCGCGTTCTCGCGGCGGCCGGCGCCCCCTGCGACTTGACTGCTGACGAGGGCGCAGGTGGGCGTTGCCTGGAGCGCTATTGCCTCGGGTCATCCCCAAGCGCAGGCTCCCATGCCCCCGGCGAACCGGCGAAATGAAGGGGTGTAACGCAGGCTCCTGGCCTGAATTCTGCAGCGTTTTTGGCCGCTGCAAGTCCCCACGTCTTCGTCAGTGGGTGAAGAAGAGCGGTCAATGATCGGCATCAATCAGTGTGCGCTCTATGTTGAATACCACACAGCGTCACAGGGGGCGGGGTCCAGCAGACTGAGGGTTTAACGCTGGAGAATGGCCCCCCGGCTGGCGGCCGATCGCTCCTTTCCCTCCCTGAGCCATGTATAGAAGGCTAACACGCAGCGGGAGGGTTGTTGATGCTGTGTGGGAGCCATGGCAGTGCCATCCAGCATGCTGCCACTGCAGCCACTCGCTGGAGCTGGAGCGCCCCGCCAACGCTCTTGGCGTCTTCAATGGAGTGGTGTGAGTGCATGTGAGGCGGCGGAGCCGCGGGCAGGCGGCTGCAGGCGCCCAAGCAGGGGTGCTGCCAGCGGTGCCGCCGCCAGCCCCGCCGCCCCCCCATGCTGGCACCCACTCCCACCACTGCAGTCCGTGCAGCACCGAGCTGCCCTTGTAGCATCTAGTCACCAACATTGGTAGAAGTCATTTGGTGTAATTTGGTGGGCAGGGAAGCCAGTTTGCATGATCAGCATGCCACCGCCGGAACGTGTTGCGGTGCGCGGCGCCCGCCCACCGCCTCACCCCTCATTCACAAGCACCCGCCGGTACACAGCACAGCTGGTGTTTTGGTATGGTATTGGTGTTGCATGCATCAGGGCGGGCTGGCACGCATCACCATGTCACGCCAGATGCGTTCGTGACATGGGCGGCGGGCCGAGCATCGGCATCGTCACGGCCCCCGTCCCGTCCGCCCCACCCACACCCCAGGTCTGCATTTCCATCGTGCCGCAACACTTCAAATGGCCTACACACACCCTTAAAGTGACTATGATGTGACTGGGGTGTACAATTCTGCCCGCCACCATGCCTGACACGGCCCACCAGCTGGGTGCCGTGCCACCGCCTTCCTCGGCCAGGCCAGGCAGGGCCGGCTGGCCCGGTTTGCCGACCGGTGCCATGAGGAGCATGCTGCTGCCCTGGCACAGTGACTCCCTCGGTTCCCTTGAGTAGGGCCCAGGCATCTTTTGCCCGGCCTTGGCTCCCGACCCACCCCCTCCCCCCGCAGGTAAGAGCAGCGTCAGCGTCAGCAAGCAACGGTCAGCGGCAGCCCCACCACTCCCACCTCCACCTCACACACTCACTGGCCCCTTGCGCGATGGCACGCCGGCATGTTGGCATGGGAACGCCAAGCCCGGCACGGTAGCGGCGGCTGACTGAGTAATGTCACAGCCAAATGCCGCGGCAGGCCACTTTGCACTCCTGCCTGCAATGCATGCACCCTTACATGTGCAGCCTTCTGGTATTTTCATGTGCCTGGGAGATGTGCGGGCATGGGTGCCCGTGTGCCCCATGCCATTTGAGTGCCCGGCGGCCTTGCTGCCTGCCGCCGGGAGCCCGCACCAGCATCGGCACCCGTCGGCCTGGCAGGCCTAAGCTGCTAAGGATCCCCACGTCCCCCACCACGTTGTGGGGGTTGCATGTCCGGCAGGACGGGGAGCGGGGCCAGGGTGGGGTGACCCTGGGACGCTCAGTTGGGGGAGGGTGGTCGGAGCCATGGAGAGGGTGCTCCATGGTCACCCCCTCTCTTGATGCCCCTTGATCACATGTGCCCCGTGGCCAAGGTCTGCTTACGCGGCCTATCATAGCTGGGTGACTGTAACACAGAATCATGCCACCCCCTGTCCTCAAATTGGTGTTCGTTGCCTCTGGCTCGATTAGCTACACGGCCCTGCAGTGGCATGTGCCACCACAGCATGCGAAGCACGACATCATTCCCCCCCCCAGCGTGGCGCTCCCAGCCATCATTCATTCCATTTCCATTCATTCGACATTCCGCATCGCCATACACCCGATAGCCGCTACCGACCCCCCCCCCCTTTGCTTGTGTGGGCTTAAAGTCTGGTAAAGCAAGAACTAGCTTGCAACATAGACTCCCCGCCGAAACGGGACGGGAACCGGGCGAAAGCAGAGAAAGCAATAAAACAGGGGTGGAGCAAGGCGACATGCAACGCAAGCAGCTGACAGGGCACGCATCGAAACGTGTGTATGACTGGCAAAGTGGCATGGCGCATTGGGGAGAAACGCAACGGTACGGGAGCATGGGCTGGCCAAACGGCAGTGCGGAACGCTAGGTCACTAGAAAAGCAGGGAAAGGCGCACTATGTATGCAATGAGGGCAGCCCCGGCTCGGGGCCGTTGAGAAAGCAGTGGGCGGGAGGGGGGAGGCCCCGGTGTGGGCGGGCCCCATCGAGGGGGGATGGGGCGCGCAAGCGGCCAGATGGGGCGGGGCGCGGGCGGCAGTGGAGTCCTGCGGCTGGGTGGGATATAGGGCAATGAGCGTTGAGCAGTGTGCGATGAGCAATGAGCAATGAGCAGTGAGCAGCCCCTCCCTAAACAAAGTGAAGCGCAGGACGGGGTCCGGTGGATGGGAGGCAAGGAAACGCGGGGGGTTGCCACGTGCGCTACCGCCGCCGCCGCAGGCAGCACCCCTGCGGCGGCGGCAGCGGCAGCAAGCCGTGGACCCAAACGCCGTGCCGCCGCCGCCGCAGGCAGCACCCCTGCGCCGGCGGCGGCAGCAAGCCGTGGACCGAAACTCCGTGCCGCCGAGTCCCGTGGCTGTGGCCGTGGGCTTCTGGCAGGAAACTACGGCCGCAGCTCGGCAGCACGGGGGCGTCGCAAGCTTGGGCCCAAACGCCGTGCCGCCGAGTCCCGTGGCTGCGACCGTAGACCGTGGGCCGGAAACTGCGGCCGCAGCTCGGCGGCACGTGGTTCTGGTCAAATCGCCAAGCGTGCAGCAGCGCCGAACCACGCTTCCCGGCCTCGGCGCATGCCTTCAGGGGCCCCCTATCGCTGGGCACACCCCTCCAACACCGAACATGCGCCCGGGGGGGAGGGCGGCCCGGGCTGCCCAGGCCAAAGTGGGCCGCCCTCGAGCAAGAGGCGGCCGGGCTGTGTGCTGAATGAATGAATGAATGAATGAACCCCCCCCCCCCCCCTGCCGGGGATTGCCTTGCCAAAC